CTGGGGGGGATGCTGCCCCCCCAGCGAAGCCCCCACGCTGGGCCCACCGCTGCCAGCCCCCGTCCCGCCCAGCCTTACGTGTTCTTCTCGGAGGATGTCAGTGCCACCAGCTCGTAGATCTGGGGGCCCAGCTCCGACGTGCAGATGATGAAGAGCGCTCGTTTATCTGCATGGGCCGAAGAGGAAGGTCAGAGCACGGCGAGGGCTTTACCCCGCCCCACCGTGTCACCAGCACGGCCGTGGCTGTCCTGGCCGCCACCCCCCGTGGCCTGTCCCCGGCCCTTCTCCCCACCTGTGGCCACGGAGCGGATAAGCACCGAGTTGAGCTTGAGGATGGGGCTGAAGGTCTGCTTGTTGTCTGAAGAGCCCAGCGCTGTCTTGCTGTGGCACTTGAGCACCAGTTTCTCATCCTGCTTCTGCAGCAGCACCAAGAGATCCTCGAGGAGCAGCACGTGCAGGTCTGGGGGAGATGGAGAGCAGAGGCTCAGCTGGGGATGCGCTCACAAGCCACATGGAAGCTCCCTCCTCGGAGCCAGGAGGGATGCTGGCCCGCTGGATGCAGCAAAGAGGGAGCTTAGGGGGTCCCTGTGATGCTGCTGGGGCTGGGGGTACAATGCCCATGTCCTGAGGATGCAGGGGCTCTCCCAGTGCTCCCAGTACCGGGCGGTGGGAAGGCCCGTACCCACGGTCTTGTCCTTGCTGATGCGCCAGGTGAGGGGTCCTTCGTGGATCATGCGCCGGGAGGTGAGGTCCAGGCTCTGCGGCAAAACGCGGGCGGTGGTGAGGGTGGGCCGGGGCCGGGCAGACCCCCAGCAGCCCCCCCGCTGCTGCCTGAGAGCTGGGGCTACCTTGAACTCGGCAGCCAGCGGGTTGCTGGTCCTCTCCAGCGAGGTGGCATCCAGGCGTTTCTGGTAGCCTTCCAGCCGGTGCCGGTTCTCCGCCCGTTTCACCGCCTCGTTCACGTACTTGAGGATGTCCCGACACTGGTCCCGGGCTCGGCACAGCTTGTCGTGCTCCGAGGTGCCCGCTGGGGTGGCAGAGAGGTGACAGCGAGTCAGCG